AATTTCCAGACACCAGAGTCGAATGGGTTCCACTTACTCGCGATAGAAACGTTAAAGATCTGGAGAATGCTATATTCAATATTACACCTCCTATTCTTCCCAAGAACGTGGTCGCTACCAACCTTCGATATTACGCGAGCAGCGACGTGTACAACCAGGAGGTTCGTTCATTTCTTCGTTTAGTGGATAATTTGATTGGATTTGGAGAAGACCCAGACAATCCCATTATCGTGGAAGTACGTCGACCATGGAAACGACAAAAACTTAGCCATGAACTAACTCCCATTAAATGGTCTGCTCCAACACCACGTGTCAGAATTTCCGTTCAAGACGACGAACAACTTATCTTAATACCCATGTCTTGCGTCCTTGGGACTGGAATTGGCCGACGCAATAACATGCGGTTGATTCTGTACCGTCGGCGATCACTCAAAGACCAATGGAACGAGATCATTCGATGCTCGATTCAAACGTACTCGCTATTATGGATCTACGGTCCGCCGGGTATTGGAAAAATCGTGTGGAGCGTGTGGAGCACTGACGTTCGCTTACACACTCGATCCTACCTTGTGGGATGTTCTTTGGATCCATTATTCACGAGTGAGTAAGGAGTTCACTTGCGTATGGCTACAAGGCACCAGCGCAAACGGCACCAAAAGCGTTTGTGTTATTAGCCGTATCTGTATCAAAAACTCCCTCCCTGAGATGTTGAACTCGATCTCTTCCGTTAGAGAAACGTTTGTGCTTTTGGATGGGTATGCCGTCAACCTAAAAGAGGTGGAACGCGCTTTGGATATATGCATGAACTGGCAAAAAGACAATTATGAGTTATATCGTCTGGTTTGTGTTACTTCCATGGCGACAGTGGGTAAGGAGTACCATTTTCCAGACTATGACGTTATACCAGAGACGGTGGACGGTCCGAGACAATCGTTTACGGTTAATCCGACTGAATTGATTAAAGACTCAGTGGAAGAAGTTGGGAAACAGAATGCCGTAAAAGTTGATACTTCAAGTATATCTGCAGAAAGTATTGATCTGGATTCCAAGCAAGCCATGAGGAGTGAGTCAATTCAACATGTATTCTTGGACGCAACAGGATTATGAAATGGCAATTTGTCATGACCCATTTTTCCACAGTGTTGAGGCCATGCTACCACCGTATCGTGAAAAACCCGGTAACGTGGAATCAGAGGCTACAAAGCGAATCAAGAGAGTGCAAGAGAAATACTTCGTGGCTGGTCGAAGTGCGAGGATGATGTTCGACTTCACAGCGCAAAGGGTCATGGATTTTCTAGAATTTGCAATCAGTGTGGTGATAGATATCGGGACTTGTACCGAAGCTCTAGGGCAACGACCGAATTGTTAGCTATTTATCCCAGAAGAGATTGGTTCGATGAGCATCAGCTCATGAGCAGCTTGTAATGCGCGCACTGGTAATTAAACTGGGATCTGATCTACTGAATTACCTCTCAATCCTCAACGGAGTCAATTCTTCCAGCGACAGCTACAACTTTGAATCGTGGTTCTTTTCAGAGCTAACTCACAATGGCATTCACTGTAAAAGAAAAGGGGAAACAGAGCGAAAGAAATGGCAGATATCCTACGTCATTTATTTCGATCCAGCACTCCCGATCGGTAGTTATCTGGTGGATCAGCATCATGAGAAGAAAAAAAACAGACTTGGATGGCTGGAACAAGGATGGCTATGATGCCGTTTTTATCGATACGGAGCGCAACCTAGCGCGGTTTGTTCAGATGACGCGGGATCAACTTCATAAGAACTTCAATCACTTCTACTGTATTGAAGTCTTGAGCAGACTGGCTGCGGAGGCGAGTCTGGAACCGTTCAAGGTGATCGAAATGTGCTTTGTTGTCCCAGAATGTGACCTGCAGAAATTTCCGGCTTCAAGAAGGATGTTTTAGAGGTTATTGCTGCGCTAGAACGAGCCAGCTCTTCAGGATCAGATTCCCTGTTCGATGAGTGCGAGGTGAAGATCATTGTGCTCGGTGTTGAGTATGATCCCGAAAGAAGTTGTCGTGGGACGCGACTTCGTTAAAAGGCAGTGACTAAAAAAATTAATTGTATCTGACTACGTAGTAGTACTACACGTGTTTGCGGGCAAACTATGGATGTCGATCGGATACGTTTTCGATGTTGACGTGTTAACACGCTCAACTACTCTAAAACGTAACTTCTCGTTTAGTTTTTAAGGCTCTCGGCGTTCGTTTTAGCTACGACGCCATCAAACATTGAAATACTGCAGTAATAAATGAGCAAAATGAGCAATATGCAATGTGCACAGTCTTTTGAGGTGGTTTACGTGTGGTGCTCCTGCCGATCCTTCTGTGGTTAAATATACGAGTAGAAAGCCGTAGCCATCAGCCAGAGGCTAAGGGAAGAGAAACGGCAACAACACCAACCCAGTTGTTACTCTTGCCGCGGAGCAGGACTCAGCGTCGACACAATGGGACTCGCACCGCGTTCAGACAACGAGTCCACCAAGTCGTACAGTCCGCGCCGCTGCACTGGCAGCTCCCGTGTCGGACCATAAGCGTCTGTACCGACGCTACCTTCACCAGCGAGCTGAGATGTCAATGAGGGCGACGCATTCTCGGCGGCGAAATCGCGGAAACTCATCGAGGACGCAGCAAGCAGCTCCGGGTCTCGAACATCTTGTGTGGCGAATGTATCCGACTCATCGGGCTCCAGCTCGTCGATGTGGAACGCTGACAAGGCGTCAGCGCGCTCTCCACGCATCACAGGACCAGTGCTCGACAGTGAACGCTGGCGTGATGGTCTAGAATGCAACGAGTTGGACAGCACGCTACGGTTCAACCGGGAGCTCAGCACGTTGGGCGCCGTGTATGTCCGTGGTAGTTGTCCTGAATACGGAGCCACTAGCTCAGCGCTCGGGTCGTTAATGGTACTGCTACGACTCATATCAAATCCACTGCCCCTCGCTGCTGAGTTGGGGCTTGAAAGACGATGATCGGATGCTCCGTTGATACGAGGCGAAGATACGCGTCCCATTTCCTCTTCTTCTTCGTCTCCAGAGCCAGTTCCTGCCCATTTCCACTTTTTCTTCGCCTTCATCGTCAGGATAGTGCGTCCAATCTTCACGTGCATCGGCTTCCCCCACTCCAATTCCAACGGTTTGCTCAGAAACAGCATCGTGCCATTCGAACTTGCAGCATCATAGAGCACGAAATGGTTCTAACAGCACAAAAATTAATCAACTGCACCAACATTAGACCATATCGTCGCCACTTACATCCTGGAATTTAACCTTCGCGTGGAGTTGGGATACCGTTCGGTAACGCAGCGTCATGTTGTTCGTGGTCGACCGGCCAATCGTCAGAAATTGCTGGTTCCGCGGCATACTAAACAGATAGCAACAACAGCAGCGTTAGTATCTTCCAATGTAAAAAACCATCCATGCAAACATACTTCGCGAAGCTCAATTGGAAGCGCGTGTTCGTCAGCGCCGTCGATCGATTCCGCGTCTCGTGTTGCGTGACGACCGCGAACGTCACGTAAGGCGGTGCCAGCTTCTTAGCCAAAAGCGACACCACACGGCCGTCATCTAGTCGAACGCTCGTCAAGTATGTCGCCTTGCAAATGCTGCACACATCCAGGCCGTCGGTATTGGTAACGGCGCACACTTTCTGATTCGGATTGGTCCCATCCGCGTCCAAATTGTTATTCCAGCGCTGCAGACAGTCCAGATGGACGTATTTCGTGTCTCCTTTGCAGTGGCAAGGCGCAACCAGTGGGTTATTATCCGGGTCTTCGTCTCCATCGTAGCAAATGTAGCAGAACTTTTTGCCGGTCGTGCCGGCCACTCCAAGTGGCAAATTATTGTGTCGCGTATCGGCGCTGTCTTCTCCCTCTCCACTGGATCTTCTGGCTGCTTTTCTGTCCTTATCTTCCTCCGATTCGCCTTCATCTGATGTGTCTCCTCCGACGCGCATGGCCTTATCATCGTCGTGTTCTCCACTGTCCTCCATGTCGGGCGATCTTTCTGTCGGATGGAACGTTTGTTGCAACGGGAGACTAAGATAATTCTCCTTAAGGTACTCGTACTGCTCGTTGGTCAGGGATTCCTCTGTTTCCTCGCTATTTGTGCGGTTCAGTTCACAGACGACGAGGCCGACGGATCCGATCCTCAATAGATCGCCCAGTCTCAAACTGTGGCCAGTAACGGGGTATTTCTTACTGCCCAGTACTCTGCACACTCCCGTGTGGCCCGAGAACCGTTCGATGGACGACCCGCAAACAAATTTGCCCACCGAATTGTCATATTTCAGTGCCAGTGTCGTGGCGCGCGTGTCGTTCAGCACGCACTCCTTCATCTGCGCAGGTACAGCTGTCCGTTCCTGTTCGTTCTGTTGCTCCATTTCCTGCTCTGCAGCTTCGTCCTCTTGGTTATTAGGTGGTGACGGGAAGTCACGCATGTGTAGCGCCTGGAAACTGGCGGCCAGGTCCCGTTCCAGCGCCGTGTGGAACGGCGCGTCGGTCTGTGTGACGGCGTTTGGGTTGCTGCTCGACGAGGCATAGAACGGGTATGACCCGCGTTGCGGCCCGTGCAGCACGGCACCTTCCTCGTCTACTGTGAACTCGAGCTTCGGTAGCGTGCGACGACCGCGTGAGGCGCTGACACGGGCGCCCGACGCGTCTGTGGTGGCGCGCAGCTCTCCAGGCGTCGTAGTCTCAGCTTTCACCTCTACGCGACGTACGCTCTTAAATCCCATGTGTTTGGCGCGCAGCATGGCGCTGTGTGGCGAATTAATTAAGGCTCCGCGGTGTCTAGATGGTCGGAGATCCAGGTGACCTACGCGGGCAGATGACGCCGGCTGTAGAAAACGTAAGCGACTCGCACTTGGATGGGAAGATGCAGCGACGTCTCCTCCTTAAGTAGAAGCGCGCGACGCGTCCTGAGGGGCTCTGAAAGACGAGCTACCACCCCGCGCAGCACAGCGCGTCCCAGGGGCTTTCCTTGCTTTACGGCTGATCGTCGTTTGTTCTCGTTCGCGAGGTATAGGGCGAAAAAAAAGGCCTTCTAATTTTTGTGTTGGTGACTATTTTTCTCAGATTATTAAACCGATCTGCGATTGGAGAGAACACAAATCAGCGAGATACGATTGGAGAAAAAGATGTGCGTTGTGTAAACATGGTGTTTTGTGAATTTGTGATTTGGGACGGAACGCTTTGATGCAACCGACCTGATTTCCCAACCTTGCTGAATGGACGCCGAGCAACATTGTTCAAAGCTTTGGATACAGTCCAAAGCTGCATTCTGGCAACGTGCCTGCATACACATTCCGTGAGAAAAACTTCATTGTGCAACACAATAACATCCGTTGCATGTATTTTTGTGTGTGTAAATTGGGATCCTATTTTTGCACCGGCTTTCCACAAAAGTCTACCATGTCATTTACTCTATCTGTCAAAACTATTCATCATGGTCAAGCGGCTGTTTCGATCTTGAAGCGACGCACCCTTTCATGTGCATTGACACAATGTCACGCCACCAGAGTCGAGGCATTGACCCAGAGCTGTTCGCTCCCAATGCACAGAGTTTAGCTAGCGACAGGTATGCTAAGGCTCCTCCCTCAGCCTGCAGCAACTACGAATACCGAGCTACCTCGTCACAAGAACGTTATCGCAATGACCACGACAATATCTACGCCTCTGGGGATAATCAGGTGCAACAGGAACGTTCTGATTATTCAAGACTCACGATTGAGCTGGAACACCTCAGCGGGTACACGGGCAAGGGCAAGAATACCATCCACGCGCATCCTATAGACCCGGACAGCTACATCACCTGGTACGTATCTATTGCGTGGTGGGTCAACAAAGCAAGCTAATTGTTGTGCCGATGCAGCATGGGTTCCGCGGTGGTGATTGGCAAGATCTGCGACTCACAAAGCCAGGAACTGCTGTGTGCGCACGAGGAGGAGATCAACGTGATGAGTTTGTCCAGTACAGGCATTTTCCTAGCATCAGCACAAATGCCTCCTCACTCCGGACGAACAGATCGCAGTGGAGCGTTTATTGTCATCTGGGATCTCGCGTCTGGACGGGAACGCTACCGACTCGAGGGTTTCTTCCGCCCCGTACTGCAAATGGCCTTCTCGCCTGATGACCACTTCCTTGCTGCGTCGTCCGAAGACTGCCGGGTCATCCTCTGGGATATGCGAGTACGCTGCCATTCGTAGATTGTTTAATAGCTGGATAGAATTGTTCACTTTGTATTTGTTGCCTTGTAGACGTCCGAGTTGGTGCTTACCAAATCTTTCCCCACTCCAGTTACTGTTCTGACCTGGGGTAAAATGGACGAAAAGTGCCGACGTCCTAAATATTCGCTCGCGTTTGCACATTCCAGCCAACTTTTGCACGGCGAGTTAGCCTACGACATCGCAGCCATGCAATATCGTCTCGAAGTCTCCACTTATTCAATGCCAAACGTGGGGATCGCTCGCACGTATCTCTGCGCTGCAATCACTCAAACACGCACGGACGTTCTATCTGGAACTACAGCCGGGGAGCTGGTCGTTTTCAACACAGAGTCTCTAGTCTACCGCAACGCCGTGCCAATTGTTAGGAACGGCGTGCACAGTGTCGCAGCTTGTGGAGATACCGGGTATGTGTACGTAGGCGCGGGCGATGGCGTTCTCAAGAAGCTTGTGGGTCGTGACTCCGACTGGAACCTCGTGGGTCAAGTGCAGCTTGTCGGTGGCATCACCAGCATCTCAATTAGTCCTGGAGGAGCTCAGCTCTTCGCTGGAACCTCAGCTGGTAAAATGTATCACGTGGTTGCCAATACTCTCGTAATTTCCGAGTTAGCAAGCAGTCATTTAGGGTCAGTCACAAGTTGTGCCTTTGGTGATTCGAGTGAAGAGTTCGCAACCATTTCTGTCGACGGGAGTATTCGCTTGTGGAATTTATCCACGTATCATCTCAAGTGCATGACTACCGAGGCAGTAGCAGGCCTGTGCATTGCCATCACGAAGAGCTCTACACATTCAGGACTAATAGTCTCGGGTTGGGTCGATGGCTGGTTACGAGCGTATGATGCGGCCACGGCACAGCCCAAATGGCACATTGCAACAGCTCATCGAGGAGAAGTGACTGCTGTGGCTTGTAGTGCTCAATATATTGTGAGTGGAGCTAGTGACGGCGGCGTGAGCATTTGGTCTTTTGCTACTCGAGAATTGGTCCTTCAATTTCACGAACACAAACGCGCAGTCACCGGTGTACTCGTCGACGTCAAGTTACCACACCGCGTTCACTCTTGCGGAGTAGACAAAGCTTTGTTCATTTACGACCTCAAAGGAGCTCGACGTATCGTGGCGCAACAAGTTCGAGAGGGAGCTTTCCACGGTATCACGCAGAGAGTAGACAGCGAGACGGAGATCGTAACAGCAGGAGCGGATGGACGACTGCTCTTCTGGGACTGCGACGAGCCTGATCCTGTCCAGTTCATCGTGGACTCCAGCAGACTAAAAGTTACTTGCGCGCAAGTATCTCCGTCAGGTCGATTCATCGCTACGTGTGGAGAGGACTGCGAGGTCAAACTCTTCGACGTTGGGTCTTCTGCGCTGCTGGCGTCGGCGCGCGGTCATTCGAACACTGTGAATGCGCTGGCGTGGAGTCCGGACGAGCGCCAACTCGTGTCTGTAGGCGCAGATTCGTGCATTTGCGTCTGGAATTTTTACCAAGAGGGATAAGCAGGTCTTGATAAACAAACTCTATTATGTCTCACCTTATTCATCCGCAGTGGATGACTCGAATGTTGGTGGCGCTTTCCGAAGGTTACCAGTCAGGCGGTCACGAGTAGCTGGGTCAACCTCAACGTAGCGTAAGAACTGCATAGCGAACGAGGCTTCTCCTTGCGTCTTGGAGCGTAGCAACGTAGCATACCCCACCATGTGAGCTAACGGCACGTTAGCGTGCACAATCGAGCGCCCTTGGTTGGCCATAGACCCGCCACCTTCTCCAGCCATAGCAGAACCCACCTCCTGGATGTGTGCACGTCTCTGTGAGCTCAAGTCAGCAAGGACATCACCGACACAGCGGTCAGGAGAGCGCACTTCGAGCTTCATCATCGGCTCCAAGATAACTGGTTCGGCTTCCTTAAGTGCCTCCTTAAGCGCCAACGCAGCAGCTGCACGGAACGAAGCAGCACTCGAGTCCGAGTCCCATTCGCAGTCCGCCTCGTCCACAGTCACCTTCACGTACGCAACACGGTTCGGAGTCAATACTCCACGACTTAAACCAGCCTGAAGGCCCTCCTCAATCGCCAGAGCGAAGGCATGAGGCATCTTGTTCGCGCCCTTATTCTTCCATTGCACCATGTTGCTGTTGTTTCCATCCTCTTCTTCCTCTTCTTCTAGACTCTCGTCTTGATGCTCAAGCTGCGGATCCACGTGGAGTGTAAGCTTGGCGAAGTGACGATCAGTGCCCAGCATGACGTCGTGTGTGTACGGCAATTCAACAGAGTTCGTGATGCTCTCCAGATACGCTACACGCATGGCACCGATAGAAGGTTCGAGCTTGTAGTCACTACGAAGACGTTCTTTGATGATGTCCAGGTGCAGTTCGCCCATACCAGACATGAGAGTTTGACCTGTCTCCTCGTCCACAGTCACCACAAAGCTCGGGTCCTCTCGTTGCAAGTTCTCCAGTGCCGCGTCCAGATCTTTCTGCTTCGCAGACGACTCGGCTTCAATAGAGCACGTGAAAACAGGCTTGGGGATCTGCACGCCAGGCAGAACCAGTGGGTGGGCGACGTCCTTGGCACTCACAAGCGTGTCGCCCGTGAACGTGTGCTTCAGGCCGACAGCAGCGCCGATGTGACCGGCTGAGATGAATTCCACGGCCTCCTGGTCGTCAGCAGCCACGTGCATGAGTCTCGTCAGTCTTTCCTTCGTACCGCCACGAGAGGCGTTGATGAGCTGTGACTTAGCATTCAAAACGCCAGAATATACACGAAAAAATACCACGAGACCACGCTGACGGTCGTGCTGCACCTTGAAGGCGAGCGCGCACAGCGGCTCGCTGGAAGATGGCTGCAACTGCACCACCTTGTTCTCTGCTCCTTGGCCACGAGTCTTCTTGCCGCCAATCACTGCGTGTGCTACGAACGGAGCCAAGTCCAGAGGCGACGGCAAATAGTCCACTACCGCATCTAACAGCGGCTGCACGCCCTTATTCTTCAGCGCACTACCACACAGCGTAACTACGACCTGCGACGCCATGTCTCGCTGTACCGTAATCCGTCGCAGCGCCGCCTTAAGCGTCTTGTTATCGATCTCCTCCTCCATCAAGAACAGTTCGCCCAGCTCATCGTCGAAGTTTGAAGCTCGCTCGATCAGCGTCTGACGCCCTTCCACCGCCTTTGTATACAGCTCAGCCATTTTGCCACCTGCTGAGGACAACAGCGGCAGTCGCTGAACCTGTTCGCCTTCCTTGTCCGTCCATTTAACCAGTTGCATGTCCACCAGGTCCAACAATCCTTCGAACTCCGCTTCCTCGCCGACAGGAAGCTGCACGCACAGGGTCTGTACGCCGAATCTCGTCTCAATAGACTCACAGGACCTGGCGAAGCTGGCGCCTTCGCGGTCCAGTTTATTAACGAAGGCGATGCGCGGCACTTTGTACCTGTCTGCCTGCTCCCAGACCGTCTCGGTCTGCGCCTCCACGCCGGCAACACCGTCCAGCACGGCCACAGCGCCATCCAGAACGCGCACAGCTCGTTCCACCTCAATGGTAAAGTCCACGTGTCCCGGCGTGTCGATCAGATTGATGTGGTGCTCGCGCCATGGGAAGCTGATGGCTGCGGCACCGATCGTGATGCCACGCTCGCGCTCCTGCGGCATAAAGTCCATAGTGGCGTCACCATCGTGCACTTCTCCCATGCGCCGAATGGCTCCGGAGTAGAAAAGCATGCGCTCAGTCGTCGTGGTCTTGCCGGCGTCGATATGCGCTAGGATACCGATGTTGCGGATGGCGGCGACGTGCGCGGCGTCCTCCTGGCTCGAGTTCTGAGCGGTGAGCGGCGCTGAGGAGCTCCATCGACGCGCAAGACGCTGGTGCAGAAGACTAGTGCCTGGAGATAAGCTGAAAGCACGCCTGTAAACCGCTAGCAGTCCGGACGCGGCGCGCGCACGTGTGCCAAGCATGATGGCGTACGTGTGGTTCACAGTGAAGTCTACCACGTCGCAGTTATTGTAAAAAAAATGACATTTTTCTTAAAATTGAAAATCAATTATGGTGATCTGATATTGCATGAAAAAGCAATGATGACAATAATTGTAGTTTTTACGTCAAAGTTGAAGTGGCGACTTCGATCGTTGCCATCTTAATGGTATGACTCGCTTTCTAGCGCGTGTGCATGGATATATATGCAACAGAATCCTATCCGCATAAGATTTGATCTCACTGATAGCGAGGCAACGTGTCAACGGGTCCGAAAGTGCACGAACGAGGCTTGTAGCTCTTGATGTGCGTGGCCATCTGCGCCGTCGCGAAGCACGGACAGCAGGTCGCGGACACGCAGTCATTCGCGCTGGATCCTGGAATCTGGAACTGGCAGCGGATACGCTTGCGGATCATCCACAATGCAGCGGCGAAGGTTGAATGGGTCAGCAATGTAATGGTCAGGAAAATGGCGTTGATGGCTGGTCGTTCATCCTCGAGGCGGTGCGCATGGTAGTAGTGATAACTCACATTGTGTCCGAGAATTACTACGGAGACCAACTGCTCAATCGTGAGCGCCACGGTGGCCAACTCCAAGCTGCAGAGCAGTGCGAAAAACAGCAACGCTGTTCTGTACGGCACCATGCCCAGTCGACTGGTAATCTGCGCAACTGATACGCACGGACACAGCGTCGCCATCAACGCGTTGGGTACGAGGTGGTCGAAACAACCAAAGAAATTTGTCGCCCAGTACCCAGTTGCAATGCCCAGAACGATGTCGCCGTTGACTCGCTTGAAAGCGCTGGGGCCATTGCCTTGCGGAGTACAGGGTACAGCCACTTCAGGACTCAGTTTTTCATCCAACTGGATTGCGTACGCAACGCGCGGGGTTTCCTTCGGGGTTTCGACGGTAATGGGCTCTGACATAGTGGTGACCAAGAATTGGAGTTGACGATGAAGCTGCAAAAACTGGAATGGTTCGCTTAGCCATCTCCCGTTGTCTGGGTGGAATCACTCTTAACAATCGCTCAAGACCGCAACGAATGTGGCATCCCGTACTACGTAATGAGAAGGTGCATTCGTCTTGTGGATACCGCGTCATCTCATGCACGACTACAACCCCATTTGAACTGCTACATACATGAAGTATTCCGTCATCCCATTGACCTGCTACATTTCAAAGCATTCCAGCATCCGGTGAAAACCGTTTCCTTTCGGACCCTTGCCTTGGGATCACGAAACGCGTTTGCTGGCAGGTTTTCGATGTGCAGACCGGCAACTTCGTATCTGAGCACCGATATGTCCGTTTTAGTGTGTTTCGCCTCTTTAAAGTGTTAGTTTCTTGGATGGCTCGAAAGGACAAATGCGAGGAATCTCTTTGGGAAGCGTATTAATGCGCAAGTACCATAAGCGCAGATGTAGTCGCAACGGAAAACGTTAGCGAGTTGACTTCGCTTATGATGGCTTGTGGAGTTTTACCCCCTTTTAACTACTCCACTCTCCAAAATTTTGAACGAGTTGGTAACCGCATCGAGTTCTGCCTTACAACCAAGTGGGATGGTTGCGATCGGGTTCGTGTGACCGATGTCCACTCCGTAAAGGATCGGGAAGCTTGTGCCTCGTGTGTGGTGGCGGATAAGCCGCTGAAATTCCTCAACCTGTGCTTCAGAAAACGCAAAGGCTCGGCCGACAATTAGACCGCGAATCTTCTCGAACGTGCCATCCGCCCTCAGCCACCCAAGCGCGACGTTGACGTCTGAGAGCGATATGCCTTCGTCAAATTGAGCTCCTTCGGGGGATTCAATCAGTAGAATGGCGTCTTGTAGATCGGGCATATATTCGGTACCGCGCACCAGGAGAAGCGTGGGCAGACAACCTCCTATAATCGGCCCTTGAGCACTACCAGACCGCAGCCATGTGTAACCTTTGTTGGGTTTCATTATGTCTTGATACGTGATATCAGCGCGTGTGAACCAGTTTGCCGTCTTGTCATCAGTCCACTCAGTCGACGGTGTCACCTGTCCAAGAGGATCCGTCGACTGTACTGCGTTCAAGAACGATGCCATGGTGTACGGTAATGGCTCGGGAAATTCTCCAAATTGGACGATAGCAGCAGGCCCGTAGAAGCTACAAAGCTGTGACTTTGCGTACAATGCGAGATGGAGCGTCGTAATATCCGAGAACCCACAAAAGATCTTCGGGTGCGCTGCAATGACGTCGAAATCGAGATACTCCAAGATTTCGTGCGAGGTAAAACCACCAATAGTACAAACAATAGCTTTTACTGCTGGGTCCCTGAAGGCCTGCATCAACTCGTCTCAGCACCCGCAGAACTGTGCGCAGCGCATACTGCTCGGTCGGCAGCGTCGTCTGTATCACCGTGAGACTGGGTGTTGTCTTGAGCTCTGAGAGTAACAGAGGGGTAGACCTCGACACGGAAACCGTGGCGTTCGAGCTCCGTACACGCTTTGGTTAGACGATGAGGCACGAAAGCCGCAAGACCTGATGCGGGTGCCACGAATGCAATTGTATCGCCTTTGACGAGGGCCGGAGCACGAAGTAGAGATGGCATTGAACGCAACAAAGAAGATATTACTATGCTTGAGTCTTTTGGGGTTGTGACGGGGAACACCTAGAGCGGATCCTGTCACTTGAGGAGATCACCAGAAGAATGTTCGTGACGAATGCACGATGATAATCGTCATAGTACAGATTGTGTACTGTACTGTGCAACTTTATGCGCTCAAACTAGCAACAACAAAATTCAGCACTTAGTAAACAAATTTGTTTAGCCACGTTTGTTCCTTGGAGCTAAATTTGGCCCTGTAAATAATGCTATCCGCCCCTCGTTTTCACAACATCGCCATCAATGTGGTCTCACATCGTTCAGCTTTGGGAGTCCCTACAGGTTGAACTGCATGGAAAATACTCGAACAAGCGAGTGCTAGAACTCTCCAATTACGCGAGCAACACCAGTTGGTTGCATGTCATCACCGTGTTAATTGTGACTCCACTACCATGCATACTCGTGATTGTGTTGGCTGACATTCTCCCCTTGGCGGATCCTGCTGATGGAGTATCAGGCAATACGCTCTTCTTCTTGCGCAATGCCTACACCACGTTTGTGCAATCCTTTATTTGCATCCACCAGTTCCGAATCAGTGTTCCTATTCTCCCGTATCCCATTCGGCGAGCGATCGTGAACGCACTTTACATTACGGTGGGAGACATCGGCATTCAGTATGCTGTTGCATCATCAACCAGCTTCCCTTTGCCGTTCTCATTGGTGACAACCAGAGGTCCGAAAATTCAGTTCTGTATTGCATTGGAAGAAGTGTTGGGCAATAATAAAAACTTCAATATTAACAACAACAATAATAAAAATTCCCGCAATTTAAATTGTATTGCTAGCGCCTAGCTCTAGTCCCGTTCGCGTTGAGCCCTGCGTCGAAGCCAAATGGTATGCTGGCTCGGTAGTCAACTGGCCAGAAGACACCCAACTCCTCACTGTTGAACTCTGCAATCAGC